TTTAGTTTTTTATTTTAAAAAAAAATCGGGCTATATTCGGTTACCTTTAAATACTGGGACTAGTTTGGGATTTGTATGGAAGAATCTATCATTGGAAAGCTACGCATGCAGTACAGATCGACTCGCAGTCACGCGGGATTTTTTTTCGGAGCCCCCCTCCCCTCCACTTTGATAAACTTTGCTTCAGGCCTGTAACAAGCTATTTGGATTGCTGTATATGATATCAAGTGTAGCGATGTAATTTAGTAAATAACAATACAGATAAATACATGTTGTATTAAGTATATGAAGTACGTTTATATGGACAAATATTTCAATAATGCTTCATAAAATACTCCTGAAAACGAATGACATATTAAATACAATTCCTTTTTAAAACGTTGAACGATTAATTATATCAATTTTAAGTTCTATATATGAATATAAGATTTCAGGCACGTGCTACTTCGTGATAAAGCCACTACATGCATGTATATATATGTACATGCATTTTGTTACCTGTATGTTTCACAGAAGATGAAACTCAATAGCCTACATCTAATGTCATTTAAGGATATTTATGACACTTCTTAGTTGACTCTTTACAGCTTGAGTATCTCTGGCGTAATGTCAGTAAATACTTGCACCATAGAAACCCCGTACTAAATATAATTTAACAATCCATTTACAAAACCATTTACAAAACTGTAGTAAAATATGTTGTTGTTGGTTTTTTTTTTTGTTTTTTTTTTTTTTGTTTTTTTTTTTTTTTTTTTTTTGGTGTTTTTTTGTTTTTTAAATTTTAAATATAAGGATATATGTATAAAAGAGTAGTTTCGTATCTTGGATACCCTAATAATAAATAAAAACGATGTACAGATTTTAAGCAAGGTTTGCAAATTATTGGTGAGTTCTAATTCGACGAATACGGCTAATTGTCCCAAAGGCATATTGTCTTAGGTGAAATATACGGAGATAGCAAACAGTATTCAAGCTCAAAAAGTGCAAACCGTCAAAAGCATTCTGGCGCACTCGTAACCTGACATAGCCCATAGCATCCGGTTTAACCTCGTTCATATATTTTCTGCGTGGACCTGAAGGTACACGCAAACAAATACTGACGACGGAATAGTTAAATCGTGCATTTTACAAATACTTTAAAGCTTAATTACCATTATTGTTTAAGTCAGCAATACTTCAATAAAATGAAACAGATGTCGCAAGAAAAAGTAGAACTCAATGGAATCGTTTTACAGTTGTTGACAATTTTATATAACATTCGTTTGAAACAAAGATTGATTTCAGTGAAAACAATACATCTGTTGTGAATAATTCTGTAGATCCTGTTTGTTCTACAGTTTAGTTTTTCAACATTAATTTTAAATGACTCATATTATTCAGTTTGAAATCAAGTGTTGAACACCTTAATGTTAATACCTGACCCTTTGCGATATTATTTCTTTTTATTAACATCTTTTTGAAAAAAAAAATAAAGATAATTTTTATATTTAAAACACCTATTGTTCTGAAGACATTTCCGTTGGAAGCTATACTATCTTTAAAATTCAAATTAAAAATAAAGTAGTTAAATATCAAAAAGATGACGTGTCTGTTCCAGGCTCAGGTAACTCATAATAATAAACAGGAATTCAAATAAGACACTACCATTAACCAACGGGACAAACAACACAAATTTTATAACGTCCCGTTCTTTCTTTTTGAAAGAGAAAATGTTCAAATGTCATACACAACCAAAGCAAATAAAACAAAAATATGCACAACTTAAAACTTCTTTAATTTTACATTTTGTATTAGATTTAGTGTTTGGAACTAAATAAAATGGTTTGGGACACCATGCAAAATTTCCATCTGAATATACTCTCGTGAAATACATGAAATATATGAAGATAACGAGCAGTATTCAGGCTCAAAAGTCCATCAAACAGTACAAAATAGGAGCAGAGCAAACACGGACCTCCAAACGTCAGAGGTGAGATCAGGTGCCATGAAGGAGTGAGCATCCCCTCCCGACCGGTCACACCCGCCGTGTGCTCCTTGTCATGATCGGGAAATAACGGAAAAATCCGTCGACAATTCAGTGTGTAAATAATGGCCTAACAATTTGTATGAAAAACGTCAGTCAGCATTTGACTCAATGATAAATTGTATTTGCTGACGAGGTCATTGTATCGACCATAGAACTTACGAAATGATGACTTTAAACGAGACTGCTGATATTCTTGTTTCATCAACTTGTTTGTTAATAATTTACCTCGTTTTAGAAATTGTACATACGTAGAGCATGCTCTTGCGTATCGAATCAACTCAGAGATATATACCCCGTATGCAGGGGATGAAGGTATATTGCTGCATAAGTAAGGGCAGTTGACAATTGAAAAGTTAAAGTCATGACGTTTATCATAAAGCTTGGTTGTTAGATTACCATTAACGTCTTTTAAAATATCCAAATATGAAACAAATGTGCCAGACTCTGTGGTATCTTTTATCTCAAGCTCACAAGGATATATCGTATTGACATAAGAATGGAAATAGCCATTGTTACAATACGTCGTCGATAAATCTAAATGTCGAGTTGAAGGCCACAGCAAGTGTTTTCTTCTTTTCATGTATAAGATTTTGGACAAATTCTGCTTCATATGAATACAAAAAAAGGTCTGCTATAACGGGGCGCAATTGGTACCCTTCGGAATTCCAATAAATTGTTGGAAGACCTGGTCTCCAAAAACCACATAGATATTGTCAATCAGAAACTCAAGCATCTTTTTAATGTCAACTTCAGAGTACTTGTGTGTACAATCAGAATGTTTTTTAACAAAATAATTTTGCAAATGACCAATGACAAGGTAAGTAAATTTACGAGTTCCATTTTTATTGAAAAAGCAGCTGTCAATGATATCAAAAAGCCTGGATTTTAATTTATCGTGGAAAATGGTTGTGTATAAAGTTGAAAAGTCGTAAGTTTTTAAGCTGTTGATTTTGGTAAAATCTTGTGATTTCAAATTTTCCAAAAGTTCCTTAGAATTTTTAAGCCTCCACATCTGATTTGCACCACTTCTCGAATATATTGTTGCATACTCTTGAAGTTTCTCCTTCACTACTGTTAATATCTTAGTGAGGAGTAAAGAAAGAGGCTTGGTTGAACATTTACTGGAACCCGCTACGTATCTTTGTTTGTAAGGATTTTTATGAAGTTTCGGAATCCAATATAAATATGGTAATTCAAATTCATTTTGGTTGTTTGGAATATTAAAAATAATATTCAAAATTGACATATGATTTTGAAGAATTTCTTCCTTAGAAAGGGAACTATGAGTATAAGTTGGATTACCACTTGTATAATTAAATCCAAGTTCCTCTAAAATACATTTAATATAATGAGCTTTACAAACAAAGACAATGTTGTTACCTGCTTTGTCAGCAGGGACCAGTACGTACTGATCATGTAATCTATCTAATTCTTTTTTCACTTCTGGATTATTGAATATAGAAGGATAGATGGTTCTCATATTGTCCCTCAATCTTTTTATGCGCGATTTTAACATACATTTGATAAATTTAATCCATTCTGACAAAGTGTCAAGGTCTTCTTTTTCATGTCTGGCCCATCGCCTGGCGTAGTCCCCTACAGAATCCATAATATTTATGAAATTTCGACGCCAGTTGAAGGATCGGGGTTCCCTATATTTAGGACCTTTTAAATTTAGTGATCTAAGGTCCTCATTATTAACTATATTTACGTCACCAGTAATAACGTGTCCAGCAGGACTATAGTTATAGAGTGAAGAAGAACATGAACACGGTGGAGGATTATGTTTCAGATATTCGATATCCAGGCCCTGTAAAGTTTTCTTGTAATTAAAAAGTTTGGAAGCAATAGTCGATGCAAATTTGTAGGTATAACCGAAGCTGTTACCATAAGCTTATTAATAAATTCAAAATACTAAGATACAGAATGTTTTTTTAAATGGTAATGTTATATGGGATTACAATATAGAATTTTTTGAAATTAACAAGAATATAAAAGATGAAGATATCTAAGAGTGATTGATCTCAACAAACCTATAACAGTACAAATATGTGAAGAAGGCATAAAACATGGACCTTTGGAAATACAAGAGGTGAGATCAGGTGCCTAGGTATAGAAAGCACCCTCCGTTGACAGGTCACACCCGCCGTGAGCTGTTGGAAATTAATCAAGGATACATTTCATTGTCAAATCTAGTATAAAAACAAGGGCCTAACATTTAGAATGAAACAAATTATCCAAAAACAGAACGCAGTGGTAGGTTATATTTGCTCTCAATGTCATTATGACGACCATAGAATTTATGAAATGCTAACTTTAAACGAGGTTGTTGAATCCCTATCACTTTGTATACAAAATCAATGCAAATCTATTTAAAGTTTAAAAATGACAAATTATGTGATTTAATTGACTTTTAATTGTTTTCCCTTCAGTGTTTTATTCTTTTCAATGTAACAGATTTTCAAAAGATAATAATGAAGGGATTTTTAATTATTATTTTCGTGTATGTTTGTTTTGAATGTAATATTTTATAAATTCATTTAACCCCACTCGTTTTATTTTTTTATGTATTTTTTTGTCTGTTTTTGAAGTTTTAGAATTTATATACTACATATAAGAATTGTTTTAGTGACAAGAAAAAATCATTAAGATTGGATGAGAAATTGACCAATTAAATGTTGACTTTTTAATTATTATTTTCGTGTATGTTTGTTTTTGAATGTAATATTTTATAAATTCATTAACCCCAATCGTTTTAAATTTTAATGTATTTTTTGTCAGTATTTGCAGCTGTAGTATTAAGAATTTATATGCGACATATATGAATTGTTTTAGTGACAAGAAAAACAATTCGATTGGATAAGAAATTGACCAATTAAATGTTGACTTTTTTCTTTTTTCACAAATCAATAACGCCATAAGCAGGTATATATTATAAACCTTCTGAGGGAACTTTTATATATCTCTTCCAGAGGATCAGAATGAAGGTTTTCCTGTATCTTGCTTTATTGTTTTGTGAGTATCTAATGTTTTACCTTCAATTGCAATGCTTCATTATTAAGAAAAATAATAAAGAATATTTATGCATAAAGTATAAAATATAACCGCTTTTAAAAATCTACATTCAGTAAAATTTCAATATTGTGTTTCTGAAATTTCAGAAATACTATGTTTACAGTGTATTTTGTAACACTGCATTATGCAGTAATGTTTTTGTTTTTGTTTTTTTCTGAAATTTTCGAAATCGTTTTAGCAATCTTATCTCGAAGGCTTTTATATAAAAATTCTAACAACGTGTTTTATCCCTTAAAGTAGAGCATTTTCACTTTGAAAATACGATGAAATAAATCTTAAAATATTGCAAAAATACCATATTGCCCATGAAATAGCTGAGTGTATATGAAGAATGTGATTTTTGTATTTTTACATTTAGGTATTTTGGGAACTGGTAAGTTATCATTTTCTTTCTTGATAAAATGTTTTAATGGCCAAAAAGAAACATTTCATAGTCATTATGTCTGCTCTTGTATTTTTGTCATGTTTTCTCTGAAAAATCATCATAAAACAGCTTAATTTTGTGAGCCACGGTGATATCATTTCAAAACAGATACTTTGATATAGAGGACTATGAGTCATTTATCGTAGGTCGCGGGTTTGCTGACGTCGTTAAAACTGTGTACGCAATTTATATGATTAGGGCGACTTTCTTGTGCACATTTGATTATGACGTCACAATGAAAAAGAAATCTGCGATGATTTTTGTTTTATTAAATTCTTCAGCTATAACTTTTCTTGGAATTGTAAGTTTAGTGTTATATTATATAAGCAACAACTTATCACAAATAATGAAGGCTTTTTACGATTTGTATAGTCGATACAATACTTAGATATAACTTTTGTTGAAATTGGTAATTTAGTGAAGAATGCTTATTACGATTCGAATGATCGACACAGGAAGTATTAAAAACGTTTAATTATTTGTTATCAATCGCATCTTCTCTGGCTTTTCCTGCAAGCTTGGAAAACAAGTGGTTGTTTTTCGGCTTGTCGGAAAGGACCGAGAAATTGCGATTGATTTGTTTTTACATGGTATCGCAAAACGATATGGACACAAGGTTCATCTGACCTTTTTTTTCTTTGATCGTTTTTGAATTAACAGTTTGTTTTATTAATAAAGAAGCCATTATTTATTTTTTTTTTTTAAAAATCGCAAATACACCTGTTACATCAAAAGATTAAACTTTATTTTTAAAAAGGATATTTTTAAAATATATAGATCTACAAATTTATCATAAATTAAATACTGCTAAGGTACAATGAAACATAAAGACATTTTTTTAGCGACACTGGCCTACTGTTAGGGGACAACTATTTGATTCTGAAGGGGGGGGGTAGCAAATTTTACCGAGACAGATTTTTTATTTACATGTCAGTGAAGGACAGATTATTTATTTCCAAAAAAAACAAGGACAGATTATTTATTTCCTCCTCACTAAAAAAAAGTCTGACAAGCAAAATAAAAAAAAGAAAGATAAACATCCAGAGTTGAAAATTCCCGGGGGGGGGGGGGGGCTAGAACTAGTCATGGACAGATTACTTATTTTCTTGCCCAGTCGAGGACAGATTATTTATTTTCAACATTTTTAAGGACAGATTATTTATTTCCAAATTCTGTAAGCCCCCTCCACGAATGAAATGATTGTCCCTAAGCAACAGCCTGCAATGCTGTTACCAGATTTTGATCGCTACTTTGCTTTCCATGTCCACCAAGCAGAATTAATGTTCTAAAAAAAACCGGCTGTTGATTACGTCAGATAAAATTAATTTTTAAATTCTCGTCCCATTTACCCCTCTGAAAATGTGGTATGTAAAAGTAAATATTTTGTTTAAATATATACTGAAAATACATGTATATTGTATTTAGCCAGGACGATATCGGGCAGAAATTCGTAGATTTGAGCGCTTGCTAAATGGTCTAAATAAAAACATTTTATATACTTGAATTACTTGAATTAGAGGATACCGTTTTCCGCCAGCACGCTGGAAAAGAAAAATACACAGCCAAATGTAAGGATACATCTAATCTACGAAAAAAAAAAGCAAAAATAAAACAAACAGAAAAGAAACGGTAAGAAAACAACACATAAAGAAAGTAAACTGGAAGAAAGAAACGAAAGGATTGATTGTTGTATTACGTCCCTTGCAAGAATTTTCACTAATACAAGACGTACAAAAAACCTAATGATGAGAAACTTGTCTAATAATCATTTCATTGATATTGAATTATTATGATACATGTACGCTTCACGGGTCACTTGAAAGCAGATAGACGTGAATTTCTTTTTTATAAAAATTATTTTATCTTATTTTTCTGCACTGAATACCGGATAGATATCCACGACGTCAAGCATGGCGTCGCGATATCTTATGGCGTCGTTCTTAAAAATGTTACATTTTGCGATATAAAAGCAATTATCCACATTTAAATTACGCGAAAACTAACCCGAAGACATGCTAATTTTTTCACATTGATTTATTTCAAATCAATTCTTTGTTAAAATACCAAAGGGGAAACAATTTTGTCTACACCATTTAAAAGTTATTGATATTTTTTGAAACAAAATCTTGCCTCAAAACGAGCCGAAAACAATGTTTTTCTTATATAATTCAATAGAATAATGTCGAAAATGTAACGACAACAATGGCATGTTTAGGATTTAATTACACAAAAATGATGCAGACGAATTTTAAAAAAATTTTCAGAGAATATAAAACGAAGGTAGAGGATTCATATAACTAATTTTCATGGTATGTTTTCGGACACTTTTAAATGGCCTGCAAACCCGCGACCTACGTTAAAATTTAAAAAAAAATTATAATTAAATCAAACGCAGCAATGTAAAGGCTTTTCGAAGACTAAATATGCAATAGAAATATTCTATTGTATTTTGAACTAGGTTTTCATTTCAATTTGTTGTCTATGTATGCTTGTAATATCAATTGGTGAAAAGAACTTTTTTAGAAAAAAAAGATATTTGTTGTGTCACTTGACTGTGTTGATCACGTGGCGGACACATGAATTTTCCTAAATGTTGCACAAAAATCAGATCGCACAAGGTACAAGTGAAAAACAATATAATTGTGAACTGTTCGTTAAATATGTCACTTTAATATCTTCTTGAGTATATATTAAGTGTTGGGTGTATGTCTGATTTTTACTTCTGAAAAAGATAATTCACGAGAAATACAACTTACTCACATACAAAGGGGTATTTTCCATTCTCCATTGCAATTTATACAAAGTAGGATAAATTTCAAACAATCCCCCAGCAAAACTCAATTTAAGGACGAATTTCTCTAATAAATCGACACAGATTATCTTCAATTTATCCTTAATAATCACTTGTGCTAGTCTAATATATAAGGGATATTTAAATTTTAATTCTGTCAACGGATGTTTTAGGGAAGGGGGGATCGCGCGCTCGATTATCCCCATTGGCAACAGATTCCTATCAACATTTTTCTCAGGTAACAAGACAAAATCCCCGGTCTTCAGATTCGGTTTGCTTGTAGACCATTTATGTTGCTTCTGGAGACTGTCTCAATGAGTAGTGCGCCATCTTTTCCAGTACATGTCAGATAGCACTTGTACATGCTTCCAACTTGCAGAATACACATCCTTTATGCTCAAATTCCCTCAAAATGTTCCAATTTCTCCCTGCTTCAGGGTCAGTATAATGTTTGGGTTCAATATTCTGAGAGAGGATGGGTCAGCATCAAGTGGTGCTATTGGGCGAGAGTTGAGAATGGCACAGATCTCGTCCATAAGGGTAATACGCACCTCGTGTGTCAGTTCTTTATATCCTTCTCGAAGCAGCATAGAGTCCAAGATCTTGCGAGCACAACCAATAGCCCGCTCCCAAACACCTCCCATATGGGTCGCTTGGGGGGCATTAAACAAGCATCATCAACATAAAAGTCCGGTCCTCGTACCGCCCTTCTAAGTCCATATGTTGCCAATGCAGGGGAAGGCCGGTTCCCGAACACATGGACGGTCATTCGGTACTCTGTCATCTGACGGTGTGGATCGTTGTTTTCGTACCAGTAAAACTGCAGGTAGTCTCTAGCTTTCTCATTCACAAAGAAACGGTAAAACATCTGTTGGATGTCACCTGCTATTGCACACAAGTCCTTACAAAATCGCAACAAGATTCCTAGCAAGTTGTTTGTCAAGTTGGGACACGACAAAAGAGCATCATTCAATGAACATCCCTGATACACAATCGAAGAATGAAACACAGCACGAACTTTGCCAGGTTTCTTAGGATGCGTCAAAGCAAATATCGGGATGTACCAACACTCATGTCCCTTTGTTATCTCTAGTGTTCTCTCTCTGCTGCTCCTTTGATGAATATGTTTCCATAAATTCACAAATCTGTTTTAGATTTTCAGGATTTTTCTTCGGACTTTGATCTAGGTTGCAAACCTGTTTGAAGACTTGAGTTTTATTGTTCATTAGCTTGAAAGGAAGTGGAGATGTCCAATTACCACTAGAAATCATCTGGAAAGTCTGGTCCATTAGTTACAGGAATTCCCGATCTTCCACAGAATTTCCCACCTTATTGTCATGTTTATAAGTGTAAAACAAGTTTTCACCTTGAAGTCCAGAGCTCGAGGAGGCGTGTAGGTAGGAGGGCCTTGGACTTAACACGGAGAATGTTCTGACATGGGGTAAATATCGTTCCTCTACCATCATTCTGAATATTGGTTTTCAAGACACTGAGATCACTTGGCTTGTGAGAACCATCCAACATACTTCTCCAATTACAAACCATCCAAGTCTGAGCATCTGTGCAAAAGGGGTTGCTAGGGGCCCATTTACCTGGCCTTGCACTGATCCTGCAAGTCCCTACCAACAAGCAGCTGTATACCAACATCTTTGCAAAGTGGGGCAAGTTTCTTAGCAATATGCCGTAAGTGAGGATGAGCAAGAGTAATCTCTGGAGTTGGGATTTCTATCAAGTTGTCTGGAAATTCATTACACTCTATAATGGGCCGAAGCTGGTGACAAACAAGTCAATCGATAGATTGAATACAGAATCCCACTGCTCTTCTCCCAGATGCTTGAGTCACTCCAGCACAAGATCTCAGTCTGTAAGGGATGGGTTCAATTGGGACTTCAAGTTGGTCCAAAAGATAAGAACGAGCTAGAGTGTGGTGCACTTCGAAGATATTTCTGTTCCCTCCTCGCCATCTTTTGAGGTGAGTAAGTTTTCCTTTGTCTCTCTGTCACCTGAGTCTTTCTTATACCAGTGCATAGCTTTCGGGTGTAGTTTGCTTCTGCACACAGAATATGGAGAATATGTGGTGCAAGAAAACTGTTTATGTCACTTGTATCCATATCTATCTGATCTTCTCTAGAAATGCTTTTTATTTTGTGTAGACAATGTCTTCCTGCGGTCCAGAGGTTTAGGAGTACGGTAAGTATCTTTACATGGTTGCTTGTACACAAGTCCAGGATCATTGCACATAGTGGCCATTTCGCTGATGAATTTCAAGAAAAGTTCAAATTCAGGGTGCTGTGCACATTGTTCTGCTGTTTGTACCTTAAGGCAATGGTAGTCCATTTGTCTCTAAGCTTTTTCCGTAGCTTGACTACTATAGTCGTAACACCAACAGATATGTTGAACAGTGCTAACAAATTGGCAAAAATGTCCTTATCCTTCAGGGACTGGATCTCATTCAAAATATCACACAGTTGGTATAGTTCTTTACCGTCCTGACTGTCAAGAATCTTAAAGTTCTCCAGCTTCTTCCTGATCGAAGCCTCTACAAGTGAATGTGCACTACATCACTCTCCAGGTGACGCCAAACTTTCAAGCGACCTGTTACAGATCACTGGCATGACAAGCCTTAATGTTCCTGGCCTCGACACTTGAACTCGGTCCCAAGTACTTGACGAGCAGATCAAGTTCTTCAGTTGGGGTCACTGACAGTTCAGACATAACGCGCAAAAAACTAGACTTCCACGACAAATAATGTTCAGGCTTAATTGTCATCAAAAGAATCATTCTTAGTCACAAGATTGAACCAAAATCTAGCAAAGTCTGTGAACATATGAGCTTCTTGTCTCGGGAGTTCCACTCTATTCAAGAGTGACGGTCCAATATCATTCAGAGGTATAGGTGATTTCCTCACTACAGATACAGGGGGTCTAAGACTGGGAGTCACAGAAACATCTATGGAATGAGACGGGATGCATGTTTGAACAACATCAGTTACTGAAGTCGGTTGGCACGATGAAAAAGTATTTTCTTTCTGTTTCTGTGGTTTAAATTCTGGAGCGTTCAAATTCAAGGATGGTGGCTCGAGTCCTAGAACGAACAAAGTCATCCACAACACTAAAATGATTGAAATCAGATATATCTGATCTATTATCCTCTTTCACTACGGAAAGTTCTACTTGAGCAACTGCTATCTCCTTTCTCGCAGCCAACTTTTCAAATTCTGCTTGAATGTTAAGAACATGTTGTTTGCTGTTGGCAGCCTCTAAACTGAGTAGTTCTTCTAGTACTGTATCTCGAGACTGAGAGCTGGATAATGAGGACGATTTCCAAGATGGTGTAGGTGACTGTACACTTGAAAATTTCTTGGAAATAGAACGTGCCAAAATCTTGACTCTCTCCATGTAGGTACATCTCACTACCATATGGGTTGTCTGCTCAAGAGAACTTTCATGAGTATTATGTCATGACAAAAACTCAAAATATTCATCACTAGTGTGTTTATAGTCACTGAAACTAGAGTCTAACTTGTGTCCCAATTCACTTAACTCAATAGATTCACACGTAGATACGCAGTACAGTTGAGGTGCCCAATGGAAATGTAAGAGCGTGTTTTGATAAAAATACACATTCTTAACCCTGATAACATTTTTTAGTACCTTTCTATTATCTGACAAATGTAATTATGTTTATTAACTACATATTGAGGACGATTAGATTTTCTATAGTGCAAGGGCATAACCAAGTTTAAATTCAAAGTTGATTTTATAAATATTTTTTTTAAAACTCATTCAAGTTTATGAAAAGTGCTGATATTTTTTATTGAATGTACTCTTTCATTGTTAAAATCCTATCTATGTGTCTGTATGGTGAATTTGGTGGACAATCATGAAAAAAAACAGTTGCTGCAAATGTACGCGGCATTTCGCGCCAGCATAGAAGATATTGTACTTAACAAACAAAACCTGTAAACCCGCAATATCAGGTTGCATATTAAATAAGTCGTTCTCCGACTAATTCGTGAACACAACAGGAATAGTTTACATACTTTTTAAATTATACCCCCGTCTTATGAAATAATACTGTCATTTACACTTTTGATACTTGACATCCCATTTGATCGAGTAAAAGATAAAGACAGCATATGTTTTACAAAACAGGAATAAAATATCGGCAAAAATTACAAACAGTGATCGTTCTCATTAAATTTTCAAACAATACAAATCTGTGAACATGGCATAAACATGGACTTTCTGGAAATTCCAGAGGTGGGATTGGGTGCCGAGGAGGAGTAGGAATCCCCTGATATTTATTGTTAAATAATAAGGACATCTGTTTTATTTCTATCAAATCCCTTTCAAAATATAAACAGCAAATTTCATAAATAGTTTATGATTACATCTGCTATATTGCAGCCCAAGTTGAAGCACGTGGCCTTGCTGGAGCGCCTGATGGTAAGTGAAACAAACAATTTCTCAGAAAGTAGAGGAATTACCTATTTTAAGGGATTTTTGATAATGAATTTCAAAAAAGAAAAGTCTAAGACATTTCAATATGAAACCTTTACTCCCAAGCTCCTTTTGCACACTCTTTGTAGAAGTAATTTTTAATAAAAGTGTAAATTACTGTCCTCTGAAAAGCTGTTTACCTGCTTAGACGAAAAGCTGTCTTCGCGGTGGATTTAACAGTTTGTTTCAAGTAACACGTATGAGTTCACAATCACTGATTCGCACAGTTATTTATATCAAAGATTACAGGACATTATCGTACAATTTGTAAGCCAATCATTTTCAATACAAAGTTGTCAAAGGTTTACATCATTTATTCAATCAAGGAAAAACCAAGAAAAATGCGTTATAAATTACTGAAAACGGAAAACACATACAGCATACCATGTCATAATTGAAGCATGTTATACAAATAAGCGTTAGCAAGTTCAAATGGCCTTGTTACCAATAGATTGTAGGTTATTACAAAATTAGGAAAAGGATAATATGCTGGGTATTTTTTTTATTGACGACAAAGACTTTCGATCATCAACTACTAATAACATCTTTTTTTCGAGATAGTTATTTGGTATACCAGACAAATTTTAAAAATAAATTATTGTAATTGTTAATTTTTTAAAATATAATTGAAATACATTCTAAAATGAAATTTTGTGCGCATAGGACCGTGCGAAATTACACAATAAAGCCGTTAAAAAGTGATAAAGAGATATAGAAAAAATTCAAAAGTGAGTTTTCAAGAGACAAAGGACAAAAAAAATCTTTACTACGGGTGCAAAATATAAAATTTTTCTCTAACAAGTTGTTCAAATATAAGGCGAGAGAGAGAGAGACTGATGAATAGACGGACATACAGAGTGATTAACAGTCATCCGTCTCTGCTGGCGAGCGACAAATGAAAAATGGTGAAGCAATGTTAATAAACTTTCTTCTACCAGTTTTAGAAAGAGCCATGCTTTTGTTTAGCTTGAATTAACTTATTCTGTTTCGTAATATTTTTTATTGATATGTTTTTGCCTTGCAGTGGCCCCAGTTCGCATTGTTAGATCTGCTGCAGGTATGTTTACTTCTGCAATGGCATTTCCGTGCTAATCCTCTAATTCTTGTTTCAGGTACATGAAGATTTGAAGTCTCTTAATATGTATTAGAGTTGTACCAAAAGATAATGCAAGCTTGTTGCTTCATTTCAAGAAATTTTCTCTATTTCTCTGTTTGTTTCTTCTTTTTTTCAGAAAAATATTGACAAGTTTAAAGTAAAATTTTTATTCTTTATTTTATTTTTTCCTCTATTTGTTGAAAAAAATGTTTCTGTGTAAAATTGACATATTGTAAACATTAAAATTTAAGATATATTAAGCTTTTCTTTTAACTCAAAATATTCTTTTTTTTTTCCTCTGAACCAAACTTCCTAAATCAATCCATTAATTAGCCTAGCTAGGGTAGATAGAAGTGTTCTTTAAATCGACCTATGAAAATAAAGTTGCCCATTGGGCGGTTTATGTATTTTTCTCTAGTGTCAGAAACATTTCATTTCTGTATTAACAAACAAGGGTTCCTATTATTGTGTAATTTATTATCATTTTTTTCTTCTCTTCTCTTACAGGTTCTTTAGTAAAGAGTCACTGTTGTGATTACTATTGCAACCCACGTGTTTGGTGTTCTTGCTGTATCGCATGATGCCTTTGAATATCAAAAATACACGTATTTTTATGCATTTGACCTGTGTTTAATAAAGAATGAAAAGTTTGATCATGTTCGTTTTGCTTCAAATTTTCTCATAAAGTTACAGATGAATTGCAAGTTTTTTTCCCTTTGGTTACATAGATAGTAATGGTTATGTAAAACACCTAAAGCTCTTTTTAATATCGATGAAAGTACCAGAAGAAAAAGTATTTAAGCACAGAACATGTTTAGAGGGGTAATCAATACTGAAGAAGAAAAGACGAAGTGTTTGGAGTACGGAAAGTTGAAGGGTTACCCACTAAGTGCATTTGACAAGATCAATCCAGTGAAACATTTAATAGGTGATTTTTTTTTATTTTGGGGGAATATTTTAGGGTGAGTTTCCAAAGCCATCAATAAACTTTAAAATAATTGATGACAAATGTTTTTCAATGCTTTTATACACTTTTGAAGGGAACCAAACGTTTCAGTGGTATTTGTTTCCTATTCAAAAAAAATTTTAAAATGTTGTGTACATTTATTAACATTCTTTTAAAATCAAACCAAAATTCTGTCAAATATTGTCCTAGCTTATAAAAATTAAAATCAGATTTTAATTTTTAAAAAATCAATTGAAAATACACTCATTACCATGATATTGAAACAAATGCACGTATACAAAATTTATTCATTGTTTAAACCCTAATATAACCCTGGGGCCTGGGGTGGTCCAGTAGGAAAGGAATGACTCTAAGTGGAGTTTAGATGATTTATTTGGAACAACATTTGGAATAATCTTCCGTCTTTATTTGCGAGAAAGATACATTTCTTTTCTAGTTATAAAAACACAAAAATACTACTTTTTCTTCTTTCATTTTTAATTCAAATTTTGAAAATATCGCAAAGTTCAAAAGAGAAATATGACATTAACTGGCGGAACATCAAGGGACAAGCTTAAGTTCCTGAACATGCTGAAAAAACACCGGGTGTTTTTTATTAATATTAAGCAGGGCGACTGGAAAGTCCACAAAATGTACATGACTACACACATTTCTAATACACTTTGTACTTTCTAGACAAATTCAGTTTAACTTTAACTATATTTCATAATTTAAATCCATAAATGACTCTTAGATGGGAAATTCAAAGCTAGCAGTAAGTTATTTTAAAAAAACAGGGGGGGGGGGGTGATGCATAAAATATTAAGTGATGAAATCGCAGAAAGATACTGGTTCATTTCTTACTGGAAAATTACCTAGTGATCTTATTTTTTCTTTTTGCGAACAAAAAACAATGAAGTCCAGGCTTTTTGACATCATAGACAGCTGGGTTTTTTTTTCAATAAAAATGGAACTCGTAAATATACTTATCTTGTCATTGGTTATTTGCAAAATTATTTTGCTTAAAAGCATTCTGATTGTACACACAAGTACTCTGAAGTTAATATTAAAAAGATGCTTAAAGTTTCCGATTTACAATATCTATGTTGTGTTTGGAGATCACGTCTTCCAACAATCCGTTGGAATTCCCATGGGTACCAATTGCGCCGCGTTATTTGCAGACCTATTTTATTCAAAAATTTCTACACGAGGAGAAAACACTTGCTGTTGCCTTCAACTCGTCATTTCGATAAATCCACGACGTATTATCAATTAATAATATTTACTTCCATTCTTATGACGACTCGATATATCCCAGTGAGCTTGAAATAAAAGATACCCCAGAGTCTGACACAGCTGTTTCATATTCAGATATTTTCTAGAAAAAGACGTTAATGGAAACTTAACAACAAAGCTTTATGATAAACGTGTCAATCGTCAACTTCCCTTACTTATGTAGCAATATATCCTTATCATCTGCTTATGAGGTTTATGTCTCTCAGTTGATTGGATACGCAAGAGCATGCTCTACATATGGACAATTTCTAAAACAAGGCAAGATATTTACAAACAAGTTGATGAAAGAAGGATATCAACAGTCTTGTTTGAAGTCATCATTTTGCAAGTTTTGTGGTCGATACAATGACCTTGTCAGCACATACAACATATCATTGAGTCAAATGCTGAGTGACGTTTTTCATACTAATTGTTAGGCCATTATTTGTACACTGAACTGTCTACGGACTTTTTTCTCCTTTTCGACGACAGAGTGTGAAAATTTTGACTATTATCAGGTCTGTGATAATATTGTAGCTTCATCTAATTTGTCTGCCTTGTTATAAAAAATGTTGGCAGGTACAGCTGTCATGTAGTAGATTGAAGGAGACAGTATATCTCTACAGATATAGTTGAACTTAATTGATTGATTGAATGTTGCTTTACGTTCCATTTGAGAATATTTCACTTATAAAGAGACGATCACCATAAACCGGTGAAGGGCTTAAAATTTAGATTTTTTAGGCACTCAGGGCAATTGAGCAGTGAGATTTCTTTATCGTGCCAAAGCCTTTCGTGACACGTGACCTCGGTTTTTAGGGTATTAACCAGAAGACCCGCAACTTCAAAGTGCCGAGTATTTGGCAAAGGAACAGTTGCTATTTTTTTTTTATCAGATATTGGTATATTATTGAGGAGCTAGTAAAGGCAGGTGCTGACGTGAATTTGCCAATTGAAAAAGGATTTACGCCATTGGTATTTGTGTGTAGGTTTGGACGTTTGAAAAAGCAAAGACGCTCTTGAACGCCGGGTAAAACGGGATGTACTTCGCTGTTGAAGCATGCACTAAGGGTGATGACAATACTGTTGGAGAGCTAATAAAAAGGGGGGTGGGGGCTGATGCAAATCTCCGAGGCTTAAGAATATTACCACTAATAAAAGCATGTAATTGTAGACATCTAAGTATTGTGAAGAAGCTTTTAAATGTAGATGCTGATGTCAATCTTGTCGATATTACAGGAAACACACCACTGATAACTGCATCTTCCCATGGTGAAAACATGATCGTAGGGGAATTGACAAAGGCGGGAGCAAATGTCAATCTCCACGACCACACAGGAAATACACCACTGATTACTGCATGTAGGGCCAGAGACGTTAAATTGGTGAGAGATCTTGTAAAGGTTGGGGCTAACGTCAACCTGCAAGATCAAACAGGGAATGTACCACTGTAATTGCATGTGAGTGCGGATATATAAATGTAGATGAGGAATTAGTGAATATGGGAGCTCATGTTAATGTACCAGATAAAAAAGGAAATAAAGTGCCTACTAGAGCATGTCTGAATGACAGTATTGTTGCCAAGCTATTGAAGGCAGGCGCTTATGTCAATCTACAAAATAAAAAGGGAAAAACACCATTGATGATTGCATGTGAGAGTGGTCATGTGAATATAGAAAAAGAAATTATAAAAATGGGTGCTGATGTAAATCTACAGATTTCAAATAGAAATGTAACTGCATTTGAAGGACAAAGACTTTTAAGGCAGGACTTTAAGAAGACTGTGGCTGATGTCGATCTTCAGATTATAGATAAAGATATATCAATATGTAATGTTGTGAATGGAAAAAAATCGCCTATAATACAGATATTGATGCAACATGGGGCTTACTATCCTATTTATGATGAATATGGCTTATCACCACTGTTTATTGCACTGTATAAGAAGCAAACTGAGCTTGTGGAAGATATTGTCAAGACAGGTTATAGAAGATTTCTGAACAGTGGGAATGCACATTTATTCAACAGTTTAGTAGACATAGGAAATGCATACGTGAAAACAGATGCCAAGGATGACGTCAAAGCGATACAAAGCCGAAAGTTGAGCATGGATAAAAATAAAGATTTCTGGAAAACAATCAGTGATGGTGACTGTGATACATTCAAGGGTCTGTTGAATGTTGGACTAGATGCCAATCAACTGATAAAGCTGTATGGTTGGTTTGATGACCCTGTCAGACCTCTGCTGCATACACTAATTGATGAGCCGCTTGTTAATGAAAGAGTAGTGTAATGGACAATCTGTATATTTTATAATGAATTCCAATTTGGCAGTAAGTTTCGATTTCTGTGCATTCCAATTTTATCAGAATGATACGTTTATCAAATGTTGAGAAATGCACGAGCGCCATATTCAGAGCAGTGAGTGCAGTAGAGTTTGTTGTGTTCTAGCTAAAAGTACCAGACATACATCACGGTAATCATATATTAATTATTTATTACATAATGTCTGCTATATGCATTTACTTGTTACATTGAATTTGAATAGGAATTTGTCATATTGTCATTGTTTACAAAGTTTAATATAAGAAGCACTTTTTGTGTCATGATTTATATTGATAAAAAGTTACATTATATGTACATTCTGTATTGAGTACAAGTATTAATTATATTTACATTTCATTTGTAGTCAATCTATGTCAGAGACAGGGACTTTATCATTCTATGTCGGAGACAGGGATTTTATCATACCATGTCAGAGACAGGGACCTTGTCATATTATATCACAGACAATGACTTTGTTATACAATGCTAGACTGCGTCCACGTTAATAAAGACATTGAATGGAACCTGTGTCGTTGGTACAAGAGAACACTACAACATTGACGTGATTCCATGAACGATCCAGGTTGTGAACATAATGCCTGTTACAGAAGAAAGGATCGGGAACATGAAACATAAAATTAACAGACAAAGGAAAGGTATATAAACATGAACACTACAATAAAACATTTAGAACACTGAAGATAACAAGTGGTGTGATAAGACAGATTATTTCTGATAATGAATCTCCAGAAACAGTAAGAAGAAAGCATGCTGCATGGCTTGAGGATTATGAGCGTTTTCTTGTTATATTTGATGAACTTGTCTCTCAATTAACTGACAAGTATGAGAGAGAAGAATTGCTTAAGACTCAGTATGATTACGATGTGTTTCTCATGAACTTTAAGAAAGAAATAGAGGAGTTCTTTTTCTACCACCAAAGTGTAAAGGAGGAATTACAAGTAGAAGCAACAAAAGAAACTGTCAGAGGCTTGAAGTCCAAGTCTCGCACATCTATAGCTACAAGTATATCATCCAAACGCCTTGAAGAAGAACAAAGAGTAGCAGGGTTAGAAGCTCGCAAAGCAGCACTTTCCCATAAGAAGGAGCTAGAGATAGCGAAAGTAAAACTAAAACTTGAAGAAGAAGAGTAAGACTTGAATACAAATATTACAATTGCGAATGCTAAAACAGAAGTTCTTCAGAAATAGGAAAGGTGTGGTGATGCTGATTTGCATGATGATGTTTCTATCATTGATATAGTGAATCCTAGAACATTAGCACCAAAACGAACGCCAAGAACGCCTTTGTTTCCTAGTGAGTTTGCATCAGTACCGTCCTTGTTTGAGAGGCCTCTGAATCCGAACGCAGAAGTAGAAAAGGTGAAAATTCTGCTAAAAGCAGGCTCAGACATCAATACCATAGTGAAGAGTAATAAAAATCCTTCTACATCTGTCTTAGATAAGGAAGGTCTGTCTATTCTTGAAAGAACACAAAGACTAGTGAATAGATATGGTAACAGCAAGGATACACGAGGAAAAAAATATAGGTTCTGAGTACAGAAGACTTGTGTGAGATAAAGAAACACGTTAGAAGACATTCTGTATAAAACTGATAGTGTAATGAGTATAATGAAATATATGGAGATAACGATCAGTATTCAAGCTCAAAAGTCCATTAAACATTACAAAACAGAAGAACAAACACGGACCTCCAAAATGTAAGTGAGTGATGTGTGAGATAAAGAAATAAGTCAGAAGATATTCTAGTTCCATGAAACTATAGTTTTCTGGATTGTAAGATAGTCATATGTGAGATAAGGAACCATTAAAAGATAATCTGTGTAAAACTTATAGAGCCAAATAAAAAAGTATGTGTGTTTCCGGAAACATGCTAAAAAAATTAGGATAGGTAGGTAGGCGATAAGCCTTTTTTCCCCCTTAACTTCTGTATTTAGAAAGCATCAATGCATTTTCGTCATATAAATGTATACAAACACATACATAGATAAACAGACATAAAAATGTATGGAGATAACGAACAGTATTCAAACTCAAAAATTCATTAAACAATACAAATTTTGGAGCGGAGCAAACACGGATCTCTAAAAACATCAGAGGTGGGATCATGTACCATGGAGGAGTGAGCATCCCCTGCCGTCCGGTCACACCCGCCGTATAATCTTTGTCATGATCGGGTAATAACGGAAAAATCCGTCGACAATTCAGTGTATAAATAATGGCCTAAAATTAAGTATGAAAAACGTCAGTCAGCATTTGACTTAATGATTAATTGTATTTGCTGACAAGGTAATTGTATCGACCATAGAACTTACGAAATGATGCCTTTAAAGGAGACTGTTGATATTGCTGTTTCCTCAACTTGTTTGTCAATAATTTACCTCGTTTTATAAATTGTTCATACGTAGAGCATGCTCTTGCGTATCGAATCAAATGAGAGATATAAACCAAACAAAACAAAACAAGTGTACTCTGTAAAACACTTGGATAAAAGTGTCTTACAGTGTCTGAGAAATGCATTTGATGCATTTCATTGACTGCACTATGAGAAATAAGTACTAGTGAACATAAGTACAGTTCCAAATAAAAAGTACTAAGGTGCCAGGGTTGGTATAATTAGGGTCGGTCGGATTACCAGAAATGACCATATTATTTAGCTAGATGTCTAGTAGGTAAGAGAGTAATAAAGAAACACGTCAAAAGATATTCTGTCTAAAACTGAAAGATGTCTTGATTGTAAGCGAGTGATGTACCAGATAAAGAAACACGTTGGAGATACCTGGAATGAAACAAATGTCTAGAGTGTAAAAGAGGGTGATAAAGAAACATGTCGGAAAACATTTTTAAAAACTGATGAATGTTTATTTGTGTAAGAAATTTATGTGTCAGATAAAAAAAATCATGGCGGCATCAATTATTTTGTATAAAACTGATAGATATCTTAAGTGTTAGGAAATCAAATTTTAAATAAAGAAACATGTCAGAAGATATTCTGTATAAAACAGATAGATGTCTAGAGTGTTATAGAGTGATGTGTGAGATAAAGAATTCGAAACACACCAAAAGTAACTTTGAATTTATTCGACATATGTCTAGCCTAGATTGTTTTCTAAGTCATATGAGAGATGAGATATCCTGTATCAAACAGATCTCTAGAGTGTAAGAGTGATGTGTGGGATAAAGAAACATGTCAGAAGTTATTTGGAATAATACAGAGTGAGTAAAGTTTGATATAAAGAAAAATGTCAGAATATACTCTGTTTCATTATGAAAAGTGTTTTAGCTAAATATCTTGCAAATAATGAACATTTATAATGAAATATATGGAGATAACGAACAGTATTCAAGCTCAAAAGTCCATTAAACAATACAAATCGGGAGCATTGCAAGCACGGACCTCTAAGACATCAGAGGTGGGATCAGGTGCCATGGAGGAGTGAGCATCTCCTGCCGACCGGTCACACCCGCCGTGTGCTCCTTGTCATGTTCGGGAAATAACGGAAAAATTCGTCGACAATTTATTGTATAAATAATGGCATAACAAATAGTATGAAAAACGTCAGTCAGCATTTGACTCTATGATAAATTGTATTTACTGACAAGGTCATTGTATCGACCATAGAACTTACGAAACGATGAATTTAACGAGACAGCTGATATTCTTGTTTCATCAACTTGTTTGTCGATAATACACCTCGTTCTAGAAATTGTACATACGTAGAACATGCTCTTGCGTATCGAATCAACTGAGATATATACCCCATATGCAGGTGATGAAGGTATATTGCTCCATAAGTAAGGGAAGTTGACGATTGAAAAGTTAAAGTCATCACGTTTATCATAAAGCTTGGTTGTTAGATTACCATTAACGTCTTTTTCAAGTAAAATATCCAAATATGAAACAGATGTGTCAGAATCTGTGGTATCTTTTATCTCAAGCTCACCGGGATATATCGTATCGACATAAGAATGGAAATAACCATTGTTAATTGACAATACGTCGTCGATATATCTAAATGTCGAGTTGAAGGCAACTACTAGAGTTTTCTTCTTTCACGTACAAGATTTTGGACAAATTCTCTTCATATGAATACAAAAAAAGGTCTGCTAAT